GCGGCGCTGGAAGCGGCGGCGGATGGCGGCGTCCAGCTGCCAAGGGATGTTGGTTGCGCCCAAGATCAAAACGCCCTTGCTGTCTTTGCCGACACCGTCCATCTGAACCAGAAGCTCGGTTTTTATCCTGCGCGAGGCTTCCGACTCGCCTTCGCCTCGGGGGCCGCACAGAGCGTCGATCTCGTCGATGAAGATGATGGAGGGCTTGTTTTCTCGGGCCATGGCGAAGAGTTGCTTTACTAGACTGAGGACCACATTCTCGTCAGCTCTTAATCACCACCGAGAGGGGAGGGGGTTAACGAAACATACCGTTCACTCTCACCCATCCACTTGCTCACCAAATCCGAGCTTGACACGCTAAAGAACGTGCTCTTGGCCTCCGTCGCCACCGCCTTTGCCAAATAACTCTTTCCCGTTCCCGGCGGGCCATACAGCAGGATTCCCTTCCACGGCTGCCTCTTCCCCTGGAACAAATGCGGGAACTTAATGGGCAACAGAACCGCCTCTTTGAGCGCCTCCTTCGCACCCTCCAGTCCCGCCACATCATCCCAGCTGATATTCGGCCTCTCCTGGAGGATCGCTCCCGCCAACGCGCTCCTCAGCTTCTTGCTATCTTCGTCCAGGGCCTCGCCGCCATTAGCGCCGTCCTCGCCGGCCTCTTTCCCTTTGCCCGTCCCGCCCGTCGACCCCCCGTTCGCGCCCACCATCCCGGGCTTCTTCTTCTTGGCGTCCGCGTCCGCCAGGTGCGCTTTGAGCTTCTCAGCGCGGTCCATGTACTCGCCCGTCTTGGCCCGGATCATCTCCTTGGATTTCGGGTTCTTCTCCCACTTCAGCGCCAGCATGAAGAGCTCGAGCGACTGGTAGTACATCTGGTAGGCCTTGTCGTACTGGGCGGCGTTGTCGGCTTCGATGGCTTTGCGCACCTGCTCGATGGCGCGGCCGAGGAAGTCGGTGTTGGACATTTTGGCGGCGTCGCGTCTGTGATGTGCTGGGTTCGGGTATGTGTCTTGGTTCGAGGTATGGTATTTCGCAGGTTCGCGCGCGGGTGGGCTGTACGAAAACCGTGTTCGTGGATTTGTTTTATTCGGACTAGGAGAATTTGTTGATTTTTGCGCGCCGATGTAGGAAAGTCCAAGTCAACAGATGGCCCGATATGCGAGGGAGGGGATTTGTTGATGACGACGCTGTTGTCCCTAGGCACACAGCAACCAGAACGGCAGAGACAGGCGCTAGGTGGAGAGATCGGGTAATGGTCGTGTCTTTCGGGCGTCGCCTAGTATTGACAATGGCAGGATCGTCGTCTGGCGGAAATGTTAGTGTTTCGCACTCTGATCTGAGGTGGAATTGGAGAGTGGAAGATCGTGGTCTTGGTCTTGTCCAGATCTTGGTTTCAAGCAACATGGAAGGTCAACTTGGTCGTTGACCTGGAAGCGCTAGCGCGGGGTCCTGATTCCTGGGGCCACTGACGCCACTTGTTTGCGCGTGAGGAGTGCGCTAGCCAATAGCTGTTAGTGTGTAGGTGCTAGATACAGCAAAGTACTAACAGAAATCGGTTGGGCACTGACCTTGGGATCTGCTCTCCTGCACCCCTGATGATTGACTGCACCAGCGAGCTCTCAGTTCCCCAGAATAGAAACCTCCAAATTCCCCGTATTGGAGCTCATCCGTGTTTCTGTTCCTGCATTTTGATCCATCATCTTCCTTGACCTTTTCCAAATCCTCTTTATCATTTCAGGACGTCACCGCCGGGTAATAATTTAATTCAACCCTCATCTCACATCACCTCTGAAAAAAAGCAACCATGGCCAGCCCCCTCCAAGTAAAGCTCCAAGCTCTCTCTGATGAGTATCAAAACCTGAACAAAGGTGAGCCCCCTTTATGATGATATCTCCGCAATTCAACCGCTGACCATACTCTCCAGAACTTCAAGAGACTGTTCTCGCCAGACAAAAGCTCGAGGCTCAGAAGCAAGAAAACCTCGGTGTACAACAAGTCAGCCTCACTTTTTCCCCAGCATCGAACCTGCCTGTCCAACCCCTTTCGCCTAAATGCTGCCCAAAGAAAAAGAGAGGACTAACCAAGTTGTATGTAGGAGTTTGAGAAGCTCAAGGATGACGAGCAGATCTACAAGCTAGTCGGCCCAGTGCTGCTCAAGCAGGACAAGATGGACGCAGAAAACACGGTCAAGGGCAGACTGGAGTTTATCAGCAAGGAGATGTAGGATGAACCCCTGAACGTCGAGGTATGTGGATGCTGACCAATTCTCACAGTACTCGCTTGGAGGAAGTAATCAAGGAGACACAGGGCAAGATCGAGAAGAAGAGGACAGAGATCATTCAGGTCCAGACGAGCGCCCAGGCTGGTGGTGCTCCTCAGGCCGTGAAAGCTTAGAGTTAATGGAATAAGTTACGGAGAGATTGTCCATGATACCCAATCGAGATCAGGCACAAAGAAAATTCGTCACAGAGCGGAACAGGCAAGCTGTCTCGTGAATGCGAAGTAACCCAAGCTGTACCCCTTACGCCTTAGTTCTCTAAAACCCAGATGAATGGAGATAACGAAAACACCACAGCTTACCCCCCTTTTCCCCCCTTCCCCTTACTCACCCACCCCGAAACCACGGGTACCGCAGCTCTCGCTCCTTCAACCTCACTCCATCAGTCCTCAGTTCAGCGCCATAATCGTAAACCCCCACGGCAGCCCCATATTCTTACAACTCCGATCACTAACCCACGCCACATTCTCACTCAACAAATCCTCGCCCACCGCATTCAACGGCAGACCCCCGTCCTCGTGTCTCTGGCCCAGCACGCCGCGATCCTCCAAGGTCGCTACCACAAACCTCACCAGCTCATCCTTGGTATAACAATGACTCAACAGTGTCGTCTTGCCAATGCGATGTAGCATCGTCTTGCGTTGCTCGCTGTCGGCGAAGAGCTGCAGTTCGCGTGAGAGCAGACAGGTCATCATCGAATCCCCACCAGAGCTGGAGTTAGAGTTCCCGGATGAAGGAGAAGAAGAGGAAGCAGCAGTAGCAGCAGCCTTCGAAAGCCTCTCAAAAATCACCGCCATGCCCGCTACAGCTTGAACGAAAAGCGTTACTCTGTCGTGGTCATCTAGTTCGGCTTCGATGCGAAATTCCTTCTCGGTGACGAAAGCGAGACAGGAGGTGTCGAAGATGGCGTTGAGGATGCGGTCCAGCCTGGAGGGCTGCTGATGCTGCTGCTGGACCTGTGAAAGAAGGAGGGATTGAAGGCTGGAGGGGAGGCGTGTGTCCTAGTTGGTGGTGAAAGTGGCGAGGGCTTGTTGGAGGAGGGTTGACAGGCAGGTCTCGGGGGGGACGAGGAGTCGGCCTTGAGAGAAGGAGAGGTGGGAGGTCGATGCCTCTATGCTGGCTGTTTGCGTGGATGACGGGTGTTAGTATGTGTGCGAGGGATGAGGGAGGTTGGAAAGGGGTTTGTGGGACAGTGGCGGTGGACTTGCCTTGCATTGGACTTACGGAGGAGACGGTGGACGTCGTCGTGGTGGATGCCATTGTGGTGGAAGAAGATGAGGGTATCACGGAGTTATGATAATGGTATCAACAGCAGAGGAGACCTGTAAGCTGTAAGCTGGTATGAATGGATGCTAGAGTACTACAACATGACACAAATTCTCGGGGTCAAGGCAGGATTATAAACAACGAAGATATCACTCGGGAACGGAATACGCCGAAAGTCTCGCCCCCCACCGATTTTCCTGGGTTTGGTACTACCTGTATCACCATCTTGGAAAAGGGCATTTCCGTATATATCAGCCATGCAGCCGAAGTTGCACCGCGAATCGAGGTCATGATAACGCGGTCGAGCATTCCAGATTGAGGAACAAGGACACCACATCGCATGTATGTACCAGTCAGCCAGCCAGCCAGCCATTTGGCAGTTTCTGGTTATTATTCCCGTCTGTCAGGGGCACACATCCTTCTCATGCCCTCGCAGGACAGGCCTCACTTGTGGCACATTCAGTCCTCGCCTCCCTTTTGGTCCCGACCACCCCCCTGGGCAATTCCGTGAACTCCCGGCATCTGAGGTTGGAAATGGCTCCCGAATGGTTCGACTTGCATTTCGCTATATTGCTTCTTTCGACCTTCTGGTGCATCGGCTGGTCCTGCCGTGTCACGGTCGTTTGAAGGTGATCCGGAAACCGGCAGGATTGACGTCGCTGCCAATCTTTGAAATGCTGGCAACTCGCATGGAATCAGACAACTTTTTGGACTTTTGGATGTTTGAATTGATCAGAAACGTCAATGCCAACTTCCCAATAACCTCTTTGGACCTTGTGTATCTTTGGCCGTGGGGTTCAAGATAGACGATATGAAATGAATGCAGTCTTGTTATACGACCGAACCTCAATATGGTCAAACATCAGCGTGTTAGACACACTTCCAAGTTGAAGAATGCCGTCCTTCCATCCATCTCGCTAGACTCGCCAATCCAGAAGTGGAATCTTAAACTGTCCAAGAAACACTGAAGTCCAAGAGACGGGTCAAAGTGGCCTGTGCACTGCACTCTCCAAGCTGACTCAGCTGAAATTCCATGCCGGCGCTTCTGTCAAAAAGCAGCCTGGCGGCAGGCATCCACCTTCGCACTGCCCGCCGCGCGGCCCAATGGCGGGGTCGAAGCCGCCAAGGTTCCAGCTTCCAGGTCGTCTTTTAGCAAAGGAGCCACTGATGAAAGGTTCCTGGACGGGCATGTGGACTGCTTCCGGGACCCTGTGACTGTCATTGACATGGATAACTTTCTTTGACCGGAACAACAACAAGCAAACGAGAGATCCTTCCGTGGTCGCCGAAATCTCTTGGTCACATCATCCACGACATCCGGAGCTTGGCCGATTCTTAGCAACAACAATGAAAACTGGATTCCTCAACATCGATAACCCATAATAATCCCCATCCGAGCGAGTTACAAGGACCACCACGCCACACGCCTGTTGGGATAGCTTCGAATAGCTCTCCATCAAGGTTCGCCAACCAGCCGTTGCGGTCACGACGGCCACCAAAAACATCCCAGCGACGATTGACAAATAGAAAGAAATACGACAACACCTCAACTCCAAGCAACACCGATTACCTAGCTAGTATACAGCAATCATGGGAAGCGCTACGATAGAGGCCGGGAGCCGGCCCATGAATGTCAAGGAGATATCCGAGAAAGCAAAACAATACGACTGGAATCCCCGGATTGGCTTCAAGTTCTGGGCACGCGCTGCCAACACCATTCATCATGAGGTTTGTTAGAAGTCTTGCAATGATGACAATCCCGAGTATGGTAGCTGACTATAATATGCTTGTTACAGGGTCAAATCTACCTTCATGAAGGGAGCATAGCCCAAGCTTACATGTTCCTCCTCCGCTATTGCACCCTCGTCCTCGAGGATATGGCCAAACACCCCGAAGCCAAACTCCCCGAAAACCGAGCCCTGATGAGGCAACTCAACAACCGCATAAACAACGTCGTTGAACAGCTTGAACAGCTCAAACCCCAAATCGAAGAGGCCTACCACAAGTGGCAACAGCTCACAGCCAGCGTAGAAGACAGCAGGGAGAAACGACGATCTACATCTTCCCAATACGCCAGGCACGCTGCCAGTGATGCTGCTTTGTCATGGAACCATATTTCTCAGGCTAAGATCCTGGATGCTGGATCAAACCAAGAGTTGGCAGTCGACTTGGCTAGGGAGACGCTGCTCAAGCGACGGAGACGACGACGACAAGAGAACGATGAAGAGGACGAGCGCACGCGGAGGACATATGCGGGTTACAGGGAGGAGAATGGCTATGGTGTAGACCGGAGACAACAGTATCCTACTCCCCCACCAACAAACAATCGCTATTCTGAGGATGACGACCTTCGCCGTCAAATGGAGGCCACAAGACGACAATTGGACCGTTCAGGAGGCTACGGGACTTCGGAAACTGACAACGGCGTCAGTGACACTGACAGCTATCGAGCTGTAAACTATCACTATCCCGCCATCAAACCAACATCTACCTATACCTACGACTACCCGAAACCCGCGCCGCGGCCCAAAGCACACAACCACAGCCACCGCTTCCGCCCAAGGTAATACCCTTCGAGCGACCAATACCCGTCACTAGACCTCCTCCCCCGCCCCCACGCCCAAGGAAGGAGTCAGGCTCATTTGGCAGAGATGGAAGGAGGAACGGTATCCTTCCCAGCCAGACGATTCGACTGGTAACCGACGAGGACGACGTCGACGATAGGCCAGCGAGACCGCCCAAAGTCAGCGAACCGCCACCAGAAGCAGAAGAGAAGCCGAAAGAAGCGAACAAAGTCACCTTCCGCCCCGTCGCCTACCTCGAAAGCGGCGAACCTCTCCGATCCGTATTCCTCCCCAGTAGTCTTCGCCGCCGTTTCCTCGAACTCGCCCGCGAAAACACCATCAGGGAGTTGGAGATGTGCGGCATTCTCTGCGGCACGCTAATCAACAATGCGCTATTCATCACCTGCCTGCTGATTCCGGAGCAAGAGTGTACCTCAGACACATGTGAGACCATCAACGAGGAAGCGTACGTCACGTACTGTATCGAGAACGACTTGCTCGTCCTCGGTTGGATCCACACCCACCCGACGCAGACGTGCTTCATGAGCTCGAGAGATTTGCATACCCATGCCGGATACCAGACCATGATGAAGGAGAGCATTGCCATTGTTTGTGCGCCAAGATATGATCCTTCGTATGTCCTCTCACCCCTTTTTCTACCCTAGTCTCTTCATTCCTTCCAGTATCACCAGCTAACACACCCCTCAACAAAACAGATACGGTATCTTCCGCCTCACCGACCCTCCCGGCCTCCCGCACATCATTAACTGCAATACCCCTGGCGTCTTTCACCAACATGGTATTCCTTCAGACGAGATCTACTGCAGTGCTCGTCATGCACCAGGGCACGTATTTGAGTCAAGTAGGGTTGACTTTGAGGTGGTGGATCTCAGACCTGAGGGGTCCAAGGTGCCGGCGTTCAGGAGGTATTAGGGATTATCTTCTTCAAGTCCCTCGGCCACGGCTACGGCATCTGGGATGGGGAGGAAGCTGAGAAAGAGTGTGAGTCAGGGGTTTTTAGCTGGGAAGTTTTGAGCGGGCGCTTCTGGCTGGAGCATGTCGGACGAGTTTCCGTTGTTATCTGCTGTCAGCTGTCTTGCTGGAGTCCTTCATAGGCAAAATATCATTGCTTGGCTGGGTGTAGCTTTTTTAGAGTACAGGTGTTGAGGGCTAGAGTGTATGGGTAGCATAGCGAAGGCGTATTTTTTTTGGGTTGTCACAACACATTGTCAGGTCCAAGGGGCCAAGAAGAAGAATGGGGTTGAAACTCCTGCAAACTCTTAAAAGGGATGGCGATGGGATGACTGTGTGGTCACATATTGTTCTGGTTCATATCCTATACTACATGGAGATAGACTTCATAAGTACGGGCTGTAAAGCAAGTTGACAAAACGTCAAGCTTGGTACCTCTTGACGACATCCCCGGTCAGTCTATTTGTTAACGCATTTCTGTTCGCACAACGTCAAGGACCACAAAATAGGTCTCTACGGAAGTGCCACCACCACATAGCAAATCGGGGGATCCTAACCGATCCCTACATCCCTAACAACATGGTAGCATATATAGCGGGACCAAAAATCCACAACCAATCTACAACCACATGCAAGATTGACCATGCCGAAAAGTATCCGAAGTTAAAACACCAAAAAGGGGACATCAGGAGATATCCGCTTTTTTGAAAGCACAGGAGGAAGGGGAAGGAAAAAGAAAAATATTTGGACGAGCTGGGAATCGAACCCAAGGACCTTTCGCATGCTCGGAAACATGCTAAGCGAACGCTCTACCAACTGAGCCACACGCCCTGTGTAACCTTATTAGTTGTTGTTGTTACAGGAGAACGGATGCTGTAGTTATATAAGTGATGGCAATGGCTACTGTGCATTGTAGTAGTGACGGTGGTGGTGTAGACCAACTCATGACACGACCTCGACTACCTTATGCCAGGGAAAACCAACGTGGAGATTTCGCCAGCTTCCTTCCACGTTGTTGATTGCTCAAGCACTCTATAAATTAATATCAAACCCTTTTTTTTATTAGCCGGCAAAAGTGTATGTCCTAGTGTAGTATAGTTCGCTGCAGGCGTGAAGTGGTGAGAATGATGAAGCCCTCCTTCATCGGTCGAACAGCTAGGTTTTCTTCAACAAACCTGACCTGACTGACCTGATGAGGAAGCGTTCCTGAAAGCAGATCATCTCCCATCTCCCACATGTGTTCTCTCGACTCCGCCCGAATATTCTTTGAAGTTTCTACCTGGATTGATCCAGTGTTGGCGACTCAGCGCCATGCTTTCATGCATGTACAATGGCGTACCCTAGGGAAAGGGGGAAGGAAGGATTCAGTAGTGATGTAGCTGAAAACCATGCGACTGTGAAGAACAGAGAATAAACGGGGTAGAAGTCTAATGTTGAGTGCGGACGTTAATTCTTTTCGAGACCTTCTTTGCAATGATAGATGGACAGGTTGTACATAGGGAGGGAGTCTCTCGGAGATTGGTCGTCGTCACTCGTGGAAGTCACTTCGTGGAAACGAAGACATTTCGTTCGAAGTTCGGGCGATCAGTCGTGATTCCCTCGCTCGCCGTTCGGTGCACCGGCCGCCGACGCACCCCTTCCCCGAACTCACCACATATCGAGTAGACATGACGTTGAAATGCATGGTTCTGGATGGGTTCCTAGGCATTTACCATCCCGAGGGCATCATTGTTTGATATACATATCTGCCTCCATCCCACGATTATCGTCGCTCGCTCATCAAGGCCAAACGTTAAGCCTGCCGCGTGTCTTTGGGTCGCTTCCTGCCAAATCATCACTACTTGAAGGTGAAAGACTGTGTACCCCACTTTTCACCTCCACAGTGCTTTCGTGTTCCGTCTCCCCGCCAAACCGACGTTGCGATCTCATTCTTCCCCGCTGTTGAGAGCAATGATCAAGACAACAAGCGCCAATTCAGGGGTCGAAGATTCGAGAATTGGCGAATTGAAGGTTCTCTCGAGCGCCTCTCTGTATTCGGGGAGCTTTTGGAGAGCAACCTCTCGAGGCACCCTTTGCAAAGCAGGACGGGATGAAAGCGGACAATGAACTGCCCGTGTAACCAGATTGCATATCCTGCCAACTGGCGCGGGAGCTGTGATACGCTCATAACGCCGTCAATCTTCCATCTGGATGAAAAACAGAAACGCCGAACTTGATGTTTATTATGTTTCTTGCACTTTAATCCCAAACCCCAACGTCCGCGTGTTTTGGGGGCTGTTTGCTCGGACTCTTTAACATGCTGTACATTGCGACATATGCAATGACAACATATTGCGAAGACAACATAGGTTGGTACCAACAACAGCAAACAGCTCAATCGTGCCGTACCTATTCATGGCAACGTGGTGTTCATCCAGATTATATCTTGAGCTTAGTTGTTTCACAGGCTCAAAGGGTCTCTACACTACCTCTGCCCCCCGGCATCCCGTCCATTCGTTACTAGTGGAGTCTGTCACCGCCCACCTCCGCCCGCCGGGACTTGAGGAGAAACCTTGTCTTGGCATTCCGGGGACAACACAAGTAGACCAAGACAATTTGGCACTTTGCACGACGGCAATTATAAACCCGCTGACTAATTCTCTAGTCTACATGATTGACGATCCGTTCCCGATGGAATCCAATGGATAGTCACAGTCTGGAACGGTTTAACATTGTGTTGTACACAGCGTTGCTTTGTGGTGAGGAGAGGAGAAGGGTTGTGGAGAAGTAGAGAAACAAGCGGATGATTTGGCCTCTGTGACGCTCCGTGACGGTCGTCGATGGGACATCGAGGGCGAATTGTCGATCCACTCGGTTGCTTCCGAGATTGAGACACAACGACAAGCAAAGACACAGGGGTCCTTTTGTCTGGATATATAACCTCGAGGAAGTCCTCCTCCTTGCTTTTGAAGTGAGCTTTTGAACGGTATTCCTCAAGACTTTTTCCTCATATCCTGACCTATCACCCACCTATCCAAAACTCATTACGCCATCGATAATTCGAATCGCAACATCACATCGATTCTCTTAATACCAACAGCACATACCTATCTAAACAACCAGACAACAAGCCGTCAAAATGGCTCCCTTCGCCACCATCTACACTTATCCCAACAACATCCGCGTTCAGCGCGTACGTCTTTTCCCCTTTCCTCATTTCCTCCCTTCCCCCTCTCCCCTTTTATTTATTTTCCTTCCCCACCCCTGCCACCCACATCTACTAACACAACTTCCCACAGGCCCAAGCAGTAGCCAAACTCAACAATCTCGAAGTCCTCGAAGACAACGACTTCCAGCTCGGCAACCCCTCCGACCCCAAATGGGCCTCCATCCTCTCCAAGTTCCCCCTCGGCAAGGTCCCCGCCCTTTCCACCGCCGACGGCTCCCTCAACCTTACGGAGGGGCAAGCCATCGTGCGCTTCCTCGCCGAGTCCGGCCCCAAGGCCGACCAGCTCCTGGGCCGCACCGTGACCGACCGCGCGCTGATCGAGCAGTGGGCTTGCTTCGCTGAGCAAGAGCTCATGGCTAACTTGATCCCGCCTATGCTCATGATTCATCGTCCGGATCTGGTGCCCTACGGCAAGGAGGGGTATGATTCGTTTGCGAGCAAGTTTGAGCGGGCTGTGAAGTTTGTTGAGAAGTCGCTTGAGGGTGGAAAGAGGTTTTTGGTCGGGGAGGAGGTCACGGTGGCGGATATCATGGTTGCTGGACCGCTGATTTTGGCTAGCAAGTTGCTTTTGGATGCCGAGATGAAGAAGAACAGTGCGCCTAGTGTTGAGGGCTATCTTAGGGGCCTTTTGGAGGTTCCTGAGCTGAAGGAGGCTTTTGGGGGTTGGTTACTGTCCAGGAGAGGGTGCGTGGTAAGGCTGAGTAAAGTCCAAGGATGGGTTGATGATGATACCATAGGATAGGATAAAAAGTTAATGGTCATGACGGTTGAGATTTGACAGTGGATTTCACGACTGCGTCAAGAGATGCATGCATGCATGTTATGGGGGAGGGCAACAAGATGATTTGAAACTGTGATGGAAGCACTTCGAGAAGTAAACCTCCGTGAGAAAACAATCTCCTACCTGTCAGATATCAATGCACAAGCGCAAGATATGCTGATTATCTGTTCATATCAATCTCAGACTCCTTTGATGTCCCCAAGCTCCAGTCATTATACCCAGCCAGCATATGCATCCAGTCCAGAAAAAAAACCCGTTCTCAAATGTCAATAAATGCCATACGAAACCCATGATGTTTTCCGAACCAACCCAAGCATGCTATGTGCCCCATACTGTTATCCGTCCATGCAAAGAAACATGAGAGAGTGTGTTCTCCGTGCAAGATCCCGCCGCCCCAGAAATGAAACTCCGACGCCAGTGAAATCAAGCTGTGGTGGTGCTGCCAGCAGACGCCCCAGTGTACCGTGGTGAACCGTTGGTGATATGGTGATGTGCTGCTGCCTGCAGCTTTCGCTCAGCGAGGACTCTGCTTAAGCTCAGCTTAAGTGTGGTAAAGACCGTAGACGGCAGAGCTTAGATGGGAAGGGAAGTCGCTAGGGCAGTTGGCGTAGCCCTCGGCGCCGACAACGAGGTGGCCATCGGGGGTGGTCCAGCGGAAGTTGTCAATGGCGTAGTGGATGAAGTCCTGAATGTCCTTGTTGCAGCACTCGATCAAGTCGCCGTTGGGGTACTTGTCGAGCTTGCTGGCAATGTTGACAGCGCAGCTGCCGTAGCTGAGAATCTCCCTGGGGATGGTGCTGGCCCAGGACCAGCAGATGGGGGTATGGTCAAAGTCGGGGATGATCACGTCCGCGATGTGGCGGCAGTCATCGACGAGCGGGGAGCCGGCAGTGGTCTTGGTCACGTATTTGTCGCCCTTGCAGTCGTGGAACAGCATGTGGGGCAGGCCGCTGCTGCTGAAAACGTTGGTACCGTTGTGGTCGGTGTCATGCTTGAACGCGCCGAGGCCGGGAGCAGGAGCAGCGTTGGCCAGAGCAGCGAAGCTCGAGACGAGGGTGATGAGTGTCTTGACGAGCATCTTGACGAGGTGAGAGAACGAAAGAATGAGATAGTTTGTGATATGGTTTGCTTGTTGTCTGTCTTGCTGGTCAAGGTGAGAGAGTGGTGATCCAGATTTTGAACTTGGAAAGATTGTGAGAGGAGTGGTGATGGATAAAGAAGGGAAATAAGAAGGAAGAGTTTGTGGGTAGAAGGACCCCTCCTTTTATACCTGCCTTATGGGTTATTTGCCCGCGTCTTGAGGATCATCCACGGCAGAGGTGGTGCGTTCCTTCCAAGTCTGGATTTCGAAAACTTCAGATGAACGATAACGAGCTCTTTTTTTCTGGCAAATGACCGCCCCTCATCCCAATTAGCGGGACTTTTGTGTTTGATTTTGCTGCACATTTTATCTTTCTGTCCAGCAAGGTTCTCGCCGCTTCCACTCTCTATTTTCTCGATCTGGTACCGCATCGGGAGTGACAGGATAGGGCTTGGCTGCCCTTCTTCGAGGTCTTAAGAAGGTACCAGCCTCGGTTCTCGAACGGGAATTGGGCGAGAATATGGTTGTACCAAGGATCGAACCATCCGTCGCATGTTTTGGTGTCATCTCCGTCGTGGGACGACATGCGCAGTATGGGATGGGTCTGTTGTTATCCGGAAAACCCCAAAGATAGAAATGTGACCTATGCGAGTTTGCGGTTATGCAGTTTCCATCACCCTGCTTTCACTTGGTGATCACTCCTGGAAATGCTGTACATCTTGGGTGGTGAGAAATGCAGACGGCACTGGTACCTCGATGGGATGGAGGCTATGCTCAGACTATTTACCCCGTGTACTCCCACACGCTCAACATCGCCATCGTTAATCCGTCCCTCCCAAGCAAATATCGCGGCTTGAGCCTAAAGACTAACCAAAATACAGAAACACAAGGACGCGGATGATAGTTAGCCGCAAGGTAGCACAAAAATCGACTGGTGAGATAATTCTCCGAACAATCCCCCCATGGCTCAGACTACCTCATTCCGTGATACAAATGCGGAGAGATTATCATGAACAGAGGTGTACGGATGCTACCAGCAACCCGGTAAGAGACCGCACGTAAGGAGCGCGGAAAGATGTGAGCTGAGACCCGTCAGATTGGCCTCGTTTCTCCCTCAGACACTGCGGTGTCCTGTGTCCCTGTCGGCCGAAGCTGCCTCAGAAATCATCATCTGAGTGGTGGATATTCCAGATAACTCCATCTGGCCAGCTCAGCAGGCTGTCGCACCAGAACTCGCCCTCTGCTCCAACATGGTAGTTTCCATCTGCATCTTGCAATGCGAACTCGGTGACAGCCTCGTCAATCTGGTCGATGATGTCGTCATTGCCGACTTTGAAGATGTCGAGACCGTCGAAGCCTCGGACTGCAAATACACAGGTGCCATAGGTTGCAAGATTGCGGTTGTGACCCGACATGGTCCTCCACTCGCCGTCCTTCGCAATGTTACGCTGTAGGTGGTTACAGTCTTTAACGAGTGGCGAGTCAGTAGTTGTTGTATTCTTCATCCAAATGCTTCCCTGGCACTTGATGACTTGGGAGTTTTGCTGCAATGACGTGGAGGAGGTAGTTGAGTTATCATGCGGAGAGGCCGTGCCCGTGACTGTAGGTGCCGCCGGGACGGAAAGAACGCTGGAAGCGATGGCCAGGATAGCCCCAGCAAACTTGATGGCGAGATGCATCTTGGAAGTCTAGATCAGTTTGGATGAAACGGTTAGTGTCCATATAACAGACGTCATACCGGTCAATGTCGACATCCTCCTGTCCCCTCCTTAGAATGGAAGTCATCTACCTAAGGACGGTACCTCTGAATGACAGGTATTATGCCAAAGAGCGTGTATGCAGGGCGCGGTACCCGTATTTGAGACAAAGGAAAGTCCAAAATGAGAGACAATCAAGGGGCTTGCAGGTTGCAGATGAGGCTGATGTTGTACAACAGAACGAAGAGTGCAGAGAGAAAAGTCCGACGCAGGTAGAAGAGCGCTCGTCCGTTTTATCTCCGTGAGGTTAACATCATTCGATGACCTTCCAAGCCTCCAGAGAAGATCTTTGTTTCCGTTCATTTTTCTTTGGTCCTTCTGGGCGGATCCCACTCGAAGTTACCCTTGACTTTGGCGGTTAGGTGCAGCTGTTTGTTGTCGACCAGGACTGCCATGGGAAATTCGGCCATGTGGAAAGCGTGATGAGTGTCAGTATGGAGGTTGCAGTATGTGGACCTGAGGACCTTGATAAGTCCCGGAGCAAACAAGCATGTTGACCGGAGAAAAAAGAACACTTCAGTGTCCCAGATACTTTGAGATAGGGCCGTTCCCTTTGCGATCCGTCACGGAAGGAGGCAGGTGGTGGTACGGGAAGGCAACCCGTAGAACTGGAAGGAACGTGGAGGGGTAACATGCAGGGGCAGTTGTCGAATTCTCGAACTGGGAAAGCCCAGAGTCCTTCCTCATCTGCGGGCTCCCCGGTGCAGGGGTGCCTTCTATTCCTTGGTACCTCGCAGACCGAGAATGCGGCTGGGAAAGTGCGTTGGGAACGACAATTATTGCGGTCTGGTTGTCAGACTTGGAGACAGGAAGGTAATTTTGGAGGAAGGCGTGCCTTTCATGCGAACGCAAAGATTCCTCTGCTTGTTAATTCTTCCTCCTCTTTATTCTTCTTTCACGAAGGTCCAACTTGGACTCTTCACTTGTCTCCAGTCACCTTTTCTATTCACTTTCCCATCAATGGGACTTCCTGCCAGATTATGCAGTCCAGACAGCGCACATCCGACCGATGTGGCAATGACGGACAGTCTGCACTCTGCAATGCTGGTGGGATCCCAACTACCGACATTGTTGTTACCTTCCACTTCGGCGAGACCTCTCACCGTGACCTGACCATCAAAACGACACTTCCACGAAGCGGCCACAATCATGGAAATAGAAGAGCAGACAAGTGCGACATGCGTCTTTTCATGTTGTGTCGGCACTGCCATTGCAAGCTTACTCGCACCGCAGCGATGCTGATGGAACCCATTGGCCCCTGAGAAGCTGTTGATCCAGTTGTCCCACCCACTTCCAACTCAGCTTCGCCTTCGCCGTACCACGCCGGATACAATCGTTTCTCAGCCAAGAATCCCAGCATGTCCTGGTCCCAACAAGCCTAGGCCCAAAGGTCGACGTCCCATGTGTCGGAATGAAGCAAACTGCTGGCCGTGACGGGAATCCAGTTCTGGGAACAAGCAGCTCGTTCCTATTTCAGTGGTGGGCTACTTGCATCGTCGTACCAATGATGCTTCTTTGCCATGTGGTAGCAAACATCAACAGGCAATGGGTTTGTTTACTTTGTTCCAGGAACAGATGCCATACCCCTGATTTCAAAGGCTGCTGTTATGGCAGGTTGTCTTGGCGTAACACCGCAGCTGCCACCACATCCGACCCCCAAGTAAGAACAACCCCTGCATGCTATTACTGATATCGTCGATGTTGACCAAGCCGCTTTTGCCTTTTGCAGATCTAGTCCCTGGCTGCTGGTGGGTAAGTGAGGGGTCTAGTCCTTGGCCAAGCGATCTCGGACGGTCAGCTTCTTCCAGCCTCTCAAGTCGTACGAGTGAGCAAGCAAGGTAAGCTGACGCCGTCCACCCCTCGAAAAGTATCACCAACTTCCTCACTCTGACCACAGAAACCATGACACAGGGAAAGAAACTCGTCGTCGTTGTGGGCGCCACGGGCAATCAAGGCGGCTCTGTCGCTCGTCGCTTCCTCCAAGACTCCCGATATGCGGTCCGCGGCTTAACCCGCAACACCTCGTCTCCAGCTTCCCAACTCCTTGCCGCTTTGGGCGTAGAGATGGTCGCCGTTCAACTCGATGACCCACAGAGTCTCGATGTCGCATTTGCAGGAGCGAACATCATCTTTAGCGTCACCAATTATTGGGAGCCCTTCTTCCGCCCCGACTGTCGCAAGACGGCCAAGGTGATCGGCATGAGTTGCCGTCAATACGCCTACGATGTCGAGTATCGCCAGGGAAAGAACATTGCTGATGCAGCGGCCAAGGTAGTGGACACCTTAGAGAATAATGGCTTCTTGGTATCGACCCTGAGCCACGCCCGGAAGTGCAGTGACGGGAAGTTCACCGACTTGTATCACTTTGACTCCAAGGCCGATATCTTCCCTGACTATGTGCTTGAAAACCACCCGTCGCTGGCGGCCAAGATGTCCTGCGTGCAGACGGGCTTCTTCATGAGTAGCCACGCCATCCTTCCGAATTCGTATTTCCAAAAGGTATGTTGCCCCTGTCTTTCGGTTGCTTCATCGAGAACTCACCAGTCATGCAACAGCAATCCAATGGTTCCTTCCACATGCGCTTCCCATGCTTGCCCGACACCTTGATACCCCATCTGGATGTCAATGGCGACCTTGGAAACTTTGTGTACGCCGTTCACCAGAAGCCTCCGGGGGGGAATTACATGGCCATGGGCTCTCACGCGACCTGGCCCGAGTACCTGCGGGCATGGGCAAAGGCAGCTGGGGTTCCCGCCGAAAAGGCCGTCTACAAGCAAGTATCGGTAGATGACATGATCGCAGACACCCCGGATAGAGACGCGGGTATCGAGGTGGCGATTATGTTTGCCTACTCTGATGATACTGGGTATGGGGGTGGCATGGAATTGCAGACGGCCGAGGATTTGAGGAAGGTGAGTGATCATGAACTAGAAGTTTGATAGGAGAAGCACGTACTGACTGTTATGAACAGCAAGGAATCGATTGTCCTATGACAAGCTTGGATGAGTGGATGAAGAAACAGGACTGGTCGGCTGTTCTGAACAAGTGATGCCCACGAAGCCTGGGGCAGGGAAATCAGATTCTATCTGCCATACGGAATGGTCGATGGAATACCATATACGAAGGCATATAAGAACAGGGAAACAACGAGATTCAAATCTGGCTTTTCTTTCTTCCATCGAACACTCCGTCGCGCTGACTGTCCATTCCAGACGAATGATTCGGCCGGAGTCGGCTACTGTTCGTCCGCGGAAAGGACGCCCGACCGCCTTGGGATTGCGCGCTGTATCGTCATCTTGGACACTCACACAGACGTGTTGTGTTGCCTGGTCAGAGGCAGGAGCAGATGTCAACAACCGCGCAAACGGTCGCGATCAACAACAAGAAGTTATGGACGACCGCCAGCTGGCCATTGTTGTGACAAGGGCAGTATTCTAAGCTTGGAACAGTAGTTCAATTCCGCTAATAAACTACTTTGGTCTCGAAGGCCTTATTGATCCTCTCAACCTCCAGGAGAAGGCACCCTGCTTCTGCTCGGTTAGGCGTGATTGCTCCTGTGATGACTGTGATGGCTTTGTGATGATGTTTAGCGCCGTCAGTAGTTCTGGGGTTGGCTCGTTTAGCCTGAAACTGGACCAGGGTGTCGATGTCCGTGTGACAATTGTGGATCACCACTTGCCCTTCTGGAAAAAACCTCCACCTTCTCCTGACGAGGCAGCTAAGTTGCTATGTAATCGGATAAAGTTACGGAATCTAACCTAAAGAAGAAGCGCACCATATCAGAGCACCACCACAAAATAATTAGTACTGTCAGGGAGCTGGCGCCCAGGGGTGTCTGCCTGACTTGAAGCCTATATAAGCCAGGCCTGCCCTCCGGTTGGGTGCACTCCTGGGGTGCGCCGCACGAACCACATTTCTGACCTTGGCGTTTCTGGCACCTTCGATATCCGCACCTCTCTTGTGTATTTAGCTGTAAGCTCCATGCCATACTGGCACAGACTTCCCTTTTCCTCTTTGTCAAATATTATCACTTTAACCAAGGCCTACCTGCGTGTATACCTCGTAGAACCCTTACACTATCGGACTACACTGTGACTTTAACCGTCCCGTCTCCTTGTGACGAACGGCAGTCTGATTTGCCTAAATGAGATAGCTGAAGGTAGTAACTATCAAAGTCGTTCGGTGAAGCCAAAGGGTTCACAACAAGTATGCTTGCGTACTGGTCTCAATGGTGACAATGGTCCGAATGTCTGTTGACTACTGTCGAACTACCTGACAATCTGAGTTCTCCCGTAGTCCCTTTATACCTGCTCGCCCTCTGCGAGATATCTGTTTCGGATGCTCTGCTGAGCTCCATAGATCTATCTAATGAGTGGTGGCTCACGATGCTTCCTGGCTCACCGTGAGCAGTGGCTCACTGTGAGCCCGTGCGTGCGCCTTTCTGGTCCATCTTGGCTTGGAGGGTGACACGACCTAGCCCGTTTAGGCCTGTTGTATTACCAGCGCCATGGTTGGTCCGTGTGTCCTCATTAGTTCGTAACATCTGACAATGAGTTCTCCAGTCGTCTCTTTATACCTCCTCGCCCTTTGCGAGATATCTGTCTCCGGCTGCTCTACTGAGCCCCATAGTTCTATCTACTAGATGTTGTGTGTCCGCTCACTGGCGATGTCCTGCTCACCGTGAGCGCCGCCCTTTAGTGAGCACTCTGCATGCGCTCTCTGGTCCAATCCTTGTCTTAGGTTACATGGTCCTAATCGTGAGCGGGGCTGCCACATCCCGACAGCCTGGTTGGTTCGTGTACTTGCTTGAGTTCGTAACACTCCTGGAATCCACACAGTCCAAATCAAGCTGCATTCGCCTCTTGGTTGTGCGGGGAACGCAGCAGAATGCAACAACTGTGCTTCTAGACGCCTGTTAAAAGATCATGTCGTGCTTGCAGGCTATCGTATGTTGGCGTGAATCCAAGATATGAGTGGTAGAAAACCGATTTTGGCATATCAACGTTGGGCGTTTGCTCGTTGTTCTTGTCGAAATGGAAGGTCATTCCGACGGAACACAGTGTAAACAGCTTATCTTTGCTGCGTCTAACCGTAATGGCTTTTAGTCATTCCCACCCTTCTGCTGTTTGGCTGGTCCGATAAGGATTTGCTCGCACGGTGACGGCCGAAATTGACATCCAAAATCGACACTCCCAGCCGTCTCTCTCCACCCACCACTTCACTCGAATTCTAGAACCAGAACTTGGACTGGCATTTTTCTCTTTTCCTTCAGGGGAAAAAAGATAAAGTACCACCTGCTTTTCCTTTTATTATTTTTGGCTCTCACTCTTCAACTGGCCGCCCGTTGTACCTTGGTTTCCGTCACGGCATTCGCAAGGTACCTTCATCCTGTGGGAGCGCTTGCCGCCTGTACTTTGCAGTTTCAGTATCGACCAACAGAGACACCGGACAACTCTGCCTCGACACTCACTATTTCGACCTTTTCTTCCGTGCTAATGCGAGCACAGTCTACATATCCAACATCTGCGGCGTTGAATGAGTGCAGGTACTGAGCTGGTAAATGCCACATCCTCCATTGTCAGGACACCGCGGTCCAGTACGCCTGCCATCGGCTCCGCCAGCCATGGTGGCCGCGCCCTTTTCCCGTCATATGTGCCTTTTCGGCTTCGACCATGATACCCAAGCGAGATTAGTGTTCGATAACATTTGGGCAGCGTCTTTCTTGACGAGGTCATATACAGATGAGAAGCACGAGTACGTCAAGCGGTTCGACGCCGACCAACATGCAAAGCAAGAACTCAAGTATGGCAACAATGTCTACGTTCTTTTCAAAGCGCTTCTCTATTGCGGCAAGTACTGGGGCCAGGACAGCTTCTGGAGCGCCATTGGCCGCGGCTTCAGCGCTAAAGCTGTCTACGTTGAGGAGTTGACCTACATGCTCATGGAAGCCCGCAAAATCCAACGGACCAGAAGGCAAATCCGTCCTCACGACTCCGATGTTACGCGCGCGGTAGATGATTGGATGGCTTTTCTTGACGCCCATGGCCCCGAATTGGAGATGGCCCTCCGTAGCCGCACGGTCCGCGCTGTTACCGATCCCAGACTCACCGGTGATGCGGATTCCTTTTTTGCGAGCATGAGAGGAACACTCGTTAATTGCAACAACATCCCCCTGAGCCTCATTGGTAGACCACCATGCCCCAGGATACTTGCGGCCACTCGAACTCCCTATCGCCCAATCCCCCCGATCCATCACGGGCATGATCTCCCACCTCGACCAGCATCACCGCCTGTTAAGAACGAACCTCGGCCTGCTGGGACTGGTTGGGAATACTTGCTAGAGCCTAACCGGAACGCCGCGCGGGAACCTTTGCGCAAGCGCTCAGGCTCGCCGTTTTCTCGTGACTCAGACGACAATCCTCCATACAAACGACACCATGGCAGCTCCGAATGGGAGTCGGAACAACAATCGCCTCCACGCTGGAATTATCCAGAGCCAAGGGTTGGCTCGCGACAGCGTGATGAGCGACCGGATCACGACGAGTTTGATCAACGATCGCCACCGCTCGTCCCACGATCCGGTGATTTCTGGCCACCACGGGGACCCCATGTGCCCCAGTCTCGGGTGGACTTCGAGCGACAGCAAAGTCTTGACGAACAGCGGCAAAAGGAAGAGCAGTTGCGGAGGCTAGAGCAGCAGAATCAGGAACTACAGAAGAAGGTTCAAGAATTCGAGGCACAGCGACGCTTGGAACAACAGCGGGAACAAGAGCGTTTGGAGCAACAGCGACTCGACAAGGAGCTTGATGAGATGCAGAAGGCTCGGTCCCAACAGCACAAAGAGAAGATGGCCGGGGAAAAGAAGCGGCCCGACGCTCAGAAGAAGCCTGAGCAGCAGAGGCCCGAAGAGCAGACAATGCTTGACGCGAAGAAGAGTCAGGAGGAGGAGGACAAGAAAAAGGCTGAAGCGCAGAGGAAACTTCAACTTGAAGAAGAACGCAAGCTTGAGGAGCAGGGGAAAGCGGAAGAGGAGCAACGCAAGGCCGAAGAGAAGAAACGCAAAGCCGACGAGCGACGCAAGCTTGCAGAAGAACGCGAGCTTGCAGAACAGAACGAGCTTGAAGAAGAACGCGAGCTTGCAGAGCAGAACAAGCTTGAAGAAGAACGCAAAGCTGAGGAGCAGCGCAAGCTTGAAGA